AGAAAACCCAAAATATAATTATGGAATATAAGCTTAACATTTAAATTTTAGCATTTGGTTTTAAGGCAAATACATATGGATTTGCCTTTGTTCTCTCCTAGAATATAATTTGGAGAAGTTGCTTAATAACAAAATGACAGAAGAGACCTGAAAAATCACTTAATATAAACTCTTCATTAAAGACATAGCAAATAGTTTGCTCAAAGTCATGTCCAAAACCAGCAGCAAAACTACAATTTAAACCTAGGTCTTCCAAGCCCTGGGACATCCTAACGCCAGAGAGGAGTCAACCATAAGCACTACAAGTGAAAAGCTGAACAACTCATAAGGCCAACAGCATAAAATTCCATTCAGTATTTCAACTTAAGCAAATGAAATATTGCAGAAAATTTGCAGGTAGAAGTTCTATAAATTAGAGTTTCTTGCAGAAGCACGAAGGTTGCACTCATTTGCCTTATTATGAACATGCTTTATTATTTGCAATGATATACACTAACTAGATTGCAAGCTCCAATGAATAATATGGAATGTGTCTACACAATGTAATGCACACAAAATATTTATATCTGAACAAGATAAAAAGTCCGTATCTGGGCTGGGAGTTTAGTTCAGCAGCGTAAGTGCCTGCTTGGCAAACACAAGGTCTGAGTTCTATCCCCAGTACAAAAAAAGAGTCCATATCCTCTTGGTACTTAAAGATTTACAGAAAAACAAATAATAATAATGCTTACTAACTACTTATTATAAGTCAGATACTATTCTAAGTCCTTTCCAAAGGTGAGTATTACTATTATCCCTCTTGTGCACATGTACCTCCAACGAGCAGAAATGTTAACTAATTTGCTAAAGGTCACAACTAGATCTTTCCTTCATTCTAAGCTTCTAAGAATAAAAATTCTGTCATGAATAAAAAGTGTCACAAAGTTGAAAACATATTCGTAATTACCTAACAACATTCTCTTGTATCATAACACTGCCTCCCTTCCCACAATGACACTTTACTACTCCCTTTACTCTAAAATCCCAACATACTGATTTCAAACCTAAGGTCAAATCACACAACTATGCAGCATTTCTTATTCAACCAAGAAGTATTATAACTCAATAATGATTCCTAGTTTTCCATAATTTTTTGCACAGTTGTACATTTTAATTATAAACATTTGTTTCAAAATCCAAATACTAAATATAAAAACTTTTACTATAAATAATTTCCCATCTTGCTACCATTAAATTTATTTTTAAATTCTTAATCTTTGAAGGCCTTGCACATAGAACATTATTGCCCATATTACCATAATAAGCTGAAAAACAGATTTCTGAAACCAACAGCATGCACTAAGATGATGCCTGAAAACAGGCAAATTAACTCATAGAGACTGAAAGTAAATTAGAGTTTACCAAAGACTATCGGCAGGGGAATGGGAAATTATTGCTTCATGGTTAGAGTTTTTGCTTGGCATAATGGAAGTTTTGAAAATAGTGATGATGGGGGGAAAATGCTATCAATATAACTAATGTCACTGAATTGTACACTTAAAAATGGTTGAAATGAAAAAAAAAATGGTTGAAATGGGGCTGGGGTATAACTCAGTGGTAGAGCATGCTGCCTAGTATGCAGACAGCTGAGTTTAATCTCTAGAATGACAAAAATAAATACTGCAAATAGTTAAAATGACCAACTTTGTTATATATACTTCATTAAAACTTAAAGAATGCAACACACCAAAAAAACCACTGAATCATACACTTTAAATGTGTGAATTTTACGGTACATGAATTATATCTCAATAAAGATGTTTTAATAAGGGCTCTTAAAATTCTCAAAGGGAACAATGACCCCCACCAAAAAAAAAAAAAAAGTTTCAAAGCCACTGCTATTGAGGAAATCCTAGCATTTCAAGGGAGATTAACTACATCTACAAACTTTCACATTTGAGATGTAAATTCCAAGAGACCATACCTCCCTAAGTATAATAAAAAGAATGTTCAACTGCATATGGACAGAAATGACCTGTATCCACTAATCAGTTGTTCCACACTCCCTCCTTCCTCCAGCCCCTGGCAACCACCAATCTTTTTCTCTAGGGACTGATCTATTCTGAATATGAAATATACTGTAAATAAGAATCATACAATATATGATCTTGTGTATCTGACTTCTTTTGTTTAGCATGTATCAAGTTCACTCATTTTGTAGAATAAATTAGTACTGCATCCTTTTTACTATCAAATAATATTCCATTGTATCCACATACATTTTGTTTATCCAATCATATATTGACAGATGTTTGTTTCTGTCTTTTGACTATTGTGAGTTGTGCTACTGAGAACGTACAGTGTATATTGGTTTTTATTTGAGTACCAGTTTGCAATTCTTTTGTATATATTTCTAGGATTGGAATTGGTGGGTGATATGGTAATTTTACTCTTAACAGTTAACCACTGTGGCTTTGATTTGAATTTCCTACTAAAGCATATGTTTAACTTTTATGCTTGCTAACCATTTGTACTGTATCTCTTCTTTGGAGAATTACCTATTCAAGTCCTTTACTCCTTTTCTGAGTTGTCTTTTTGTTGCTGAACTGTAAAAGTTCTTCAAATATTTTGGATACAAGGCCAGGGTCTCAGTTGTTTTATTTGCAAATATCTTTTATTCCATTTTTTGGTAATGTTTTTTGATACACAAAGTTTAACTTTGGTTTTCAAATTTATGCGTTTTACCTTTTATTGCATGTTGTTTCATATCAAAGACTCTGCCAAATCCCATGATGATTTGTCTATTTTCTTCTAAGACTTTTAATAGTTATAGTTTTTATATTTAAATCGTTTAACTATTAGCCACTTACCTTTTTTAAAAAGCTTATTTCTGTATATACTATCAAGACAGATATCTATTTTTGAGTATCAGTAATCTCAAGTTTCACATGTCTCAAATCAAATTTTTAACATCCCTCCACCAAAGCTACTTTTCAAGTCTTTCACATCTCAGTAAATGCTCTGTTTAAACATCTAAGGAATTATCCATGACTCCCTTTTTCTCTCAGGACTGACATCCACGCCATTAGCAAATGTTAGGGATTCACTTTCAAATCTTATCTTAACGCAACAATTTACCACCTCCACTTTTACTAATACGGATTACTGAAAGAGCTTTTACTTGATCTTCCTGGTTTCTCATCTTTGCTTCTTTTCAGTTTAAGAAGCATTCAGTCATCCTGTTAAATTAGGAATCTTTCTGCTCTAATTCATAAATCTCACTCCGAATAAATACGAGAATGTTTTCCATGGACTATGATTTCCCATGCAATATGTCCCTCCTTTTTAGTCCCATCAGTAAGCATTCCTTGCCTTTGCACTGTTTCCAGAGTCCTGAATGTTCTCCAAGATAGCATGGCTGGATCTCTTACCTTAAGTTCACCTCCTTAATGTGGCCCTCTATGCTATTTAAAAAAGCAATTGTGCCTCTCCTGATCCCCTTCGACCTTTGCTTTATTTTTCTCTATGGTATTCACTGCCATTTGACACAATACTGTATATATTTATTTGTCTATCTCCCCAACCTCTGCTAGAGTATAATCTCCTTTGGGGTACGGATTTTCATTTGCTCATTTTATCCACCTGAGTTCACAGCAGTTCCTAGCATATAGCAGGCCTTAAGTATTTGTTGGATAAGGAGTAGTATACATCTGCTCTCCTGAATGAGTTTATGCACTTTCTATAAGCAATGACAGTTCCATTCACCGCTAAGTTCTCAGCACTTAATATAAGTACCCGACACACAGTAGGATGCACTACTTTTTTTAAACGACTGAACAAGAGAGCCTTTCACACAATCCTTACTCTACTACGCCCTAAATACAAATCCAGTTTGGGATTACCTCAACGAAGGGCTTTCAAATACCAATTCTCACGCTCGCTCGTGTATTCCCTGCGGTCCTCACAATAACCAAAGGAGATAATGAATAACGGTCAAAGCCTGAATTTGAACTTTGAGCAATGACAAGTCCCACGAAGGAACTGCTCGCGGCCTGACTCGAGATCAAAGGAGGCTGCCAGACTCCGGACAGTCAGTGACAGGCACTGTCTTGGGGCAGGGGGTGGCAAAGAGAAAGAAGGGCCCCAACGACCACGACCAGAGTCCTAGTCCCTCTTTGACAGCTAAGAAAACCAAAGCCCAAAGAGGAAAAAGAAACACCTGAGGTCACACAGCAATCAAACTGGGCGACAGCCCACCTCCAGCGGCCTCCGGCCCGATCCCCGGCCGCCGCACGTGCTCCAAAGACGCGTCCGCTCGCCGCGGTCCGAGGCTGGGGCCGACGACAGCGCAAGGCTCTCCCCACGCCCCTCAGCCCGGACCCCGCAGCCGGCAGCGCGCACCGTGCAGGTGGGCCCAAGTGCCGGCTCCGCGCCGCGCGTACCTGGCCGGGTCCCGCGGAAACCTGAAGAAGGCCAGGTCCGACTGCGTGCTCTTCCGCGTGCAGTTGGGGGCCGCGCAGAAGTTCGGCATCGTCGCCCGCCCGCCGGCCGGCCCAGTCCTCCCCTCCCCGCCTCCTCAGGGCAGCCCGCCCGCCCGTCGGGGCCGGGGAGGGGAGCCAGGCCGGCCGGCCGGCTCCGCAAGGCCGGCGCGGGGGGGGGAGGGGCGGGCGCGCGAGAAGCCGCGAGGGGCAGGAGGGGCGCGCGGTCCGAGGCCGGCCTGGGGACTCGGCTCCACAGTGCTGTGAGCGGCCGGGAGGATTTACCGCCGCCGCCGCCGCTGGTGCACCTCCCGCCCGCCCGGGACGCTGCCGCCTCCTTCCCACAATGCACCGTGGCGCCCGGAGGTACCCTCTCTCCCCTCAGCCTTCCTCCCCGCCCTTCTTTCCGCCGACTTTTAAGCGGGCGGGCACGCGCACTGAAGAGGGCCTGCTGGGGTGTGGCGAGGCGGAGGCGGGACTCCGCGCGAGCGGACACTGCGTCTGCGCGCAGCCTAACTCGTGGGGAGGGGATTGCGCATGCGCGGGCCAATCTCCTGGGACTAGAGCAGGCGAGTTCTGGGCTGCTGCGGTAGGTTTGGCGACTACGGGTTCAGCCGATTTGGGGCGTCCTTGCAGTTGTACGTCAGCGTTGCAGCTCTCCTTGTTTTAATGCCTATAGACTTGTAAGGACCGCGGAATCAAGACGACCTGGTTGACTGATTTGCAAACTCAGTGGCAGAGCTGTGTGCGCTGGCTGGACACAGACGTGGGTTGTAGGGAATTTAATATTGCCCAGTTTTGCATCTACTCTTTGGCCCCATGAGCCTCCTCAGTCTGTACTAGGTGCTAAGGGCGAAAACTCAGAAAAACACTGAATTTACTTTTTCCTGGTAAGGCTTCCAGAGAAGCAAGAATAACGACTTGGTTATGTTTACAGTCCTATAGAGATTGGTCCCTCTGTCTTCCCCTTACACTTGTCATCTGCAAATGTTCTGGTGTCATTTAATGCCAAAATGAGTGATCGCTATTTAGAACAAAGGATTACTATAAAATTTTGCGTAAAATTGAACAAGTCTGCAAGTGAGACCCACCATCTTTTAAAAGAAGCTTACGGGGATGAAGTTATGTCAAGGGCTCGAGTTTTCGACTGGCACAAAAGGTTTAAAGAAGGGAGGGAAGATGTTCGAGATGATGCACGAAGTGGTCGCCCGGTCATCCACAGGACAGATGAAAATATCCAGAAGGTCAAGAATTTGGTTTGTTCAAACAGGCAGCTAACAGTGAGGATGATGGCTGAAGAGTTAAATTTAGATAAAGAAACCGTTAGACTCATTCTGAAAGAAAATTTGAATATGAGGAAGGTTTCTGCCAAAGTTATATCAGGTATTTTGATGGATGAATCTAAACCTGGAAAATCTGACTTTCAGTCTGACCTTTCAAAGAAAACTGGGAAAAATGACTCATTTGTGAGGAAGAAAGCAACAAGTTCTAAAACATGGAGTCATCTGCAGAGAGAACCTGGTGTGGAAATGCCTCAGTCAGTATTCCATCGCAGAATCTACTGTGCTGCTAGCCAGCTTCTGCAGGCCTCATCTTCAACAAGCCTTTCCACACCATTGGCTCAAGATGGTTTTGCTCCATGGTGAAATGAAAGGAACCTGAGGTAACTAGCCTAAGCCAGGAAACTACCTCAGGGTTAGGTCTTCATTTGCTGCTCATTTGATTTCAGTCTGCCATTTCTTCCTGCCTGTCATGGTCCTTCTCCTCTGACGGGCTATGGAGCCATTTTTCTTACTGCTCTCTACCACTTGGAAGTGGTTTTGACTGTTAATTTCTGGTATGTGCCTGCTCTTAATTTCTTTTGCACAACGCATTTGGATTTCTTCGCTGCCCACATCTCAGCTTGTTCCTCTGTTTTTAGCATTCTCCCTCAGGGGATCATCTCTATGTCTATGCCCAGGAACCATGCTCTTTGAGAAGGACCCCAAAAGAAAGCCTACAGTTTCAGCCTACTTTACATTCAGGGCCTGAGGTATGGTGCAAAAGACAGTGTGGTACTAACATGGAGCAATGCTGGGCCTAAGGAGTCACCTACTGTAATGATTGGATTCCCTCAGAATTCCTTGGGTTTGCCACTGGTACTGATCTTGTCAAAGATACCCCACCTTCACACATAGAAGAGCTGGATTTGTTTCATTCTAGTCTTGTGCTTTGGATTCCCCACTTATTTGGGTATCCCCTCTGCTGGAAGAGAAGGATCTAACATAAGAAAAAACAAGAGACCTAGGCCAAAACTATGTTGTGTGAGGAGAAGGACTGGGTAACTCTTCAGACCCTAAATTAAGGGAGTCTGCAGTCTGTGTACCAATTTCCACTCAACAGCCTGTTTTTAGTAACTGCTACTATTACAGTCGTAGTGTCAGTATGCTTTGAGCACCTATGGTTTTCAGAACCTTCCTGTACCTTGATAAGATTTTGAAGGGTAGATGGATTTCATGTAGGAGGTGGTTGTTGAATGGATCCACGAGGAAGGTGAGACAAAGGGCTTCAAGGTTAGGGAAAGCATGAGACCTGTGTCAGTGGAAAATGACACTGTTGGCTAAAATGGCTAAGTCTACCAGAGAAGATGGTGGTGTTGCAGAAAATGAACAATGTGGGATAATTTGCTTCCTCTGCTCTGCCAGTATTTTATAGATAGTTTTTCCTGTGTCCATGAATTTTTTCATGAATATTTTTATAAGAACCCACTTACTTGATTATTTAATTTCCCCATCAGACCCCATAAAGCAGTCTTCACTTACACAAATTATCCTGTTTTTGCTTCTACTAGAATATATAGAAACGAACTTTTCCCAAGTGTTTTCCAAATAATACCACATAGACTGGAAACATCTCAGAGTACCTGGTAGAAATCAGGAAGGAAGAGTATGTCTCAGCATTGGCCAGTGTCTATGTTTGTTTATTTGTTTGTTTTGAGACAGGGTCTCACTGTGTAATTCAGGCTGATCTTAAACTGACTGTATAGACTTGAACACATAGAAATCTTCCTTCCTCAGCCTCCTGCATGTTGGGAGTATACGTGTTTGCTACTACCCCAGGGTAATATCTGTTTAACTTGAAGATTTTGATGCATAAATGGATCCTTTTTTGTATATATTTAGAATTTTGTTTTGTTTTTTGAGACAGAGTCTCATTATGTAGTGTAGGCTGGCCTTGAACTTGCTTATGTAGCACAGGCTGGCCTCAAACTCAAGGTGATCCTTCCTCTTGCCTCAGCCTCCTGAGTGCTGGGATTACAGGTATGTGCCACCATGTCTGGCTCCCTTTATTTAATGACTAAAGAAGTAAACAATATTGGTTAATAGCAAAGGCCCAATACTCATTTGTTCCATACAGTTTACTTTTAGTTCTAGTCTTTCACCATCTACCACTTTCAAAATTTTTTAAGTTCTAATGTCTGTCAGTTTTGAGGCACCATGGAAGCTAGATTTTGTCTCACAAAGAAAAGATACTTTTTAAGCCAAAAAGCAGTTTATATACTTCCATCTAATAATTTCTAGACATTCCAGTTCTGAGCCACCAAGTCTTCCTACATCAAAAGAGATCCTATGTTCCCTCAAAGAGACTTGTCTTCAGGGACATAGCATTTCAGTAACAAATCTTCCATTGATGCCTGTTGCAGCTGTGTTGCTGAATTTATTAATCCTTGCTCAAGTCTTGTAGTAACATGTAGAATTATATGTTCCTGGGCTGAAGCCAGGATCTCACAACATCTATAGGCATTTTCTTCAACCTATTTCAGGAGTCCTGAGAGAACTACTAGGTTTTACTGTAGTCCAGAAAGGGGTGCTAGGAGTGGCCCTAGCAATGATATAGGACCAGATTAAGGTCAGAGTGTGAGTACCAGAAGCACACTTGATCCAGATAGGGTTTGGACACAGAACCACTGGAAAGAGGTAATTGGGAATGTGAGTTCAAATTGTCCCAAGTTGCTGTTAGGAAAATAATTTATTTTCTTAGATTATGTCCAAACAGTCATGTTTGAACCCATTGCCCCTTTGCAAGACTTCCCAAAAGCTATTCAGTGATGTCTCTGATGTGGGGGAAGTAAAATTACTGCCCTAATGCTTATCCAGAGCAAACCATGCTCAGAATCACTAAATCCAAAGCTAGAGTATAAAGTCCTAGGAGAGTTTTTGAATTCCTTATGTGCCCTCCTGCCAAACCCATTTTATTGCTGACCCAAGTTTTTCCGTAGCCTATATATCTTGCTGCTCAGGCCTCTTGAGCTCCTGGTGCTGTAGTCTTAAATCTAGCCATTCACCACTCTTCAGACTCTTGCCTTAGGCTTTTACAGATTGCTCTCAATTTATTTTTCACCAATTTGCTCTTGTTTCTCTGATTCCCACGTGCTTTGTTACCTGGTTCTGGATTATATTTCTGAGAGCTGCTTTTGGCTATTTCAGCCTGCTGATCCCTTTGGTCATGGCTTATTTTTAAAAATTCAGCTCACAGGGGCTGGGGATTTAGCTCAGCGGCATAAGTGCCTGCCTTGCAAGCAGGCAGTTGTGAGTTTGATCCCTGGTACCGATAAAAACAAAAAAGACAAAAAAAAAAAAAATTTCAACTCACAAATATCTCTCTTCTGATTTTTGGATCCCTCTTTGAGCTCCCCACTTCAGCTGTGGTGTGCTTGGGAGCAGAGGTTGTCTGCTCCAGCTGTGGCCCCGCGTTACCTTCTTAGGCTTAAGAAACAGGATGGGGCAGTGTTGGAGAATCATGTTTTTTTTGTTTATAAAGGACATAAGCCACTATCAGTTACATTCCCCATATGCAGCCAATTTCCCAAAGAAGCAATTTAGTTATCTTTGATAATGAGTTGTGAAACCCTTTTTGGAGCTCTACTGTGTCCAAATTCATTCTCCCAGCAACAGTATTTTCCCTAGCAGGATAAGCTCCACCTAACTGCAGGTGAGTAAGCCTGCCTCCATAGGAATGTTGAGAGAGCTGCTGTCTGCAAACTTTGACTATAATTTTCAAGTTTAACATAGTCTGTGAATCTCTAGCTTTCATGTTGATCTTCTTCCCCACCATCATCCACAATCTAGTTCACAATCCACAAGGAATGTTACATGCCACAGGCGAAAGTCTAAGAGGAATAGACTCCTCCCAGGGATGATCCTCTCTTCATTGATCTTATCTAATCCTTTCCCTCCCTTTTTACCCACCCTACTGTACTTTATTTGCCTCTCTAGTAATGATCAAGATGAGAAAAAAAATAAAATGTTCACCAAATCTTTGACTTAGGAAAACATGAGAATGATTCTGTAGTCCTGGATTCTCCCTCTTTCTCTGAGTGGAAATGTGGTATTTTAGAGAGAATGTATGTCTGGGGACTACTTTCCAGAGTCTTCCTTACAGATCATTTGTTAGTCAGGTTACATTTGCCTTTGAAGATGCCTGCATAAATCTGGATTGCTAAATTACTGGAAAACACCTAGTAAAGATGTGCAGTACTAGTAGGAAATTGTCAGTGGATCAAAGTTCTGCCTGCCCTACTTGGAACACTGCAGTTTGCTTATCCTCTACAGATGTCATCATCTGATAGCCTCACTAGGCTACTTGGGATTCAGTCCCACCAAAGTCCCATGTTAGCTCAATTAGTAAAAAACTCCTCTGCAAGTTATTCTACATTCTCCAGTTGCTCCTTCAGTTGGACCAGCACTTCCACAATTTGCCAGGCTTTCCCATCTGAGGCTGCTACTATGCATTTATGTTTTCCAGTGTCTTCCTTACCAGATCTTTGCAATACTATGGAAACCGTGTGACCCTTCTCCCACTGTTAATATCTAGAAACAAACAAACAAACAAAGTCTCATGGAGGGTACAATACCTTTAAAAACCACTTGGGTCTAGTCTGATGTTAGCAAACTTCTGTAAAGAGAACACCCTCAGCTTTGTGAGCCATATGGTTTCTGTTGCAACTGCTCAACATTTTAGTGCAAAAGCAGACATAGATAATATGGAAACATATGAGCATGGCAGTGTTCCAATAAAACTTTATAAATGAATACTGGAATTTGAATTTCATATCACTTCTACAAGTTTTTTTTCCTTCAGCCATTTAAAAGTAAAAAACAGCCAAGTGTGGTGGTATACACTTGTAATTCCAGCACTGCTGAGGCTGAGGCATGAGGATTCCCATGGTTTGAGGCCAACCTAGACTACATAGTGAGTTCAAGGCCAGCTTCAACTACATCGTGAGATCCTGTCTTGAAAAGAAAGAAACATCCTCCCCTCCACATACATATTCTAAGCTTGTGAACCATAGAAGAATGGGCAGTGGACCAGATTTAGCACATGGGCCATAGTTTGCTAACTCCTGGTGTAGTGTATATACAGTATGCTTATAAAAATGTCAGGTGATTGATCATATTCCATCAATAACATTGTTAATGCCAACTGATCTGGCAGTTTACAATAAAGGAATCGTGGAATATTGGAAGAAATCTTTATAAGGCCAGGAAAGTAAAGTAGAGCTGAAAGATCAATTGGCTATTGCACCCTCACCATACTGTGGTTTACAAGATCAAGTTTTGTGCTGCTTTTGATTAAAAATGTCACACAACTACTACTTACATTATTATGTAATATCTAAAAACCTGTTGGCAATACTGAAAATGGTGCAAAGTTGCAACCAACAATAGTATCTAACGGTAGTTCCAAATGCCTTATTATGGGCAGCAGTTGAATAAGTGTGTTATCACCTATTAAAATGTGTACTAGATGATAAAACTCAGTGAAATTTTTTTTTGCTCAAACTTTGTAACTGGTCCCAAACCATATGTCCTAAAGCGATCTTTATTGTGTTACCTTTAAGCTGATCTTACCAAGTTATCTGAAAGGAGATTCTGTGTTAATTCACTCAACAAGTGTTTATCAAGTGGCTATATGTGCCTAAATATAGCAATGGAAAATAGACCCAGGCCTTAGATTTGACAGCCTGAAATCTAATATTATTCTTCACTTGCAAAACTTCTGTTCTGTATGCTGACACTTCTGTTCCGTATGCAGTCATTACCACTCATACCTGATAATCAGTATAACTTTTGCCACATGCCTTTATGCCGTGGTTGTGATGCCTCTCTAACTGCACTAATAATTTGAGGACTGTATGTTCGACTTAAATTTTATTATCCTTTACACAAATTTATATTGGTGGAAAAATATACTGGCAATGTTGCAAGTGTAAATTGGCAACAGCTTTCTGAAAAGCAATTTGGCAGTATCTGTTAGGAGCTTTAAAAATGTTTATATCCTCTGATCCTCTAATTCTACTTCTGGGAATCTTTCCTAAAGAAATAGTCTAAAATGTGAGCAAAAATTTATGCTTAATAATCTAAAACTTCAACAGCAAAAAAATTGGTTAAATAAATTATATTATGACTAAATAATTGGTTTGTGATTATCATAATGAGTGTTTATAGAGTATTTAACAGCATGGCAAAACTACTTACGATGTTTACTGAAATGAGTGATGCAAAATTGTACATACTCATCCAAAAAATTCTGTTTTGAATTACTGGAAAGGACATGCTAACTCTGGGTGGCTGAATTATGGGCGTCTAAATTTTTTTTTCTGGTTTCTATGCTTTTAAAGAATATGTCTCCAAACTCCTTTACTTTTGTTAACAGTAAAAAGAAAAATAGCTTCAAAATTTGGCAATCAAATGCCAGACATGGTGACACATGTCTGTAATCCCAGCACTCGGGAGACTGAGGCGGGAGAGTCACTACAAAGTTCCAGGTCAGCCTGGGTTATATAATGAGACCCTGTCTCCAAAAAAAAAAAAAAAAGAAAAAAAAGAAAAAAAAAAGTTGGCAATGGAGAATTGAGGCCACATCACTAGTTCAATCCATGAAAAATTAACTGGCATGGAGGCTAGATGATATTTGTGTTGGTGGCAAGAATGAGAGAGAAGGGGAAAGAATGTGTATCAGAGAAGGCGTAACTAGAATCCCTACTTAAAACCCAAGTGGTTGTGAGAAGATATCATGAGTGGCATGCTCCTTTTATGTTGTTCTGTGCAGCGAAAAGAACACCGGTGCTTATGAGTCAAAAATGGGAAAGGATATGAAATTCTCTCTTGGGTAAAATTAACCTCTTTTGGACTTCACTTTCACATTCTCTCATACAAACTGAATTCTTAAGATGGATTTTATTATAGTTGAATCTCTGAAGAATTATTGAGCCTTTCATATTCCTTCAGTGTAGGAATAGCTTTCGATGTGCCAAGTCTACCTCCTTTCACACTGGGACATTCAGGCAACATGGATGTACACTGTAGTATTTGTGTTTTACATTGAGAGTACTACATACAAATCATTAGTCACCTTAATGTTGTAATTTAAAAGTCAATGTTTGTAAATGTCAATTTGTTGGTGTCCAGAATTATTGTATTTCTTGTCTAAAGAGTAACCACGACGTGGAATTTCAAAGTGAAAAATTACGTAGCGAATGCATACCCATAAATGAAAGTGTTATGTTGGGAAAATGTATATTTAAATGTTGCCTTGATAAAATGATTATCATTAAAATGTTAAATGTATCTTTTCAGTGAAATTTCAATTTTCAAGTAAATACAAGAGATAAATACGTGTTTCATAAACATATAGGTTATAGATTTATCAAGCTAGGTGAGTTTTTCAAGATCTAAAGTGTTAAGCCCCTTGCTACAGAAAGAGCATTAAGAGTGTGATTTGGGTTTTAGTTCTGGCTTTTTTATTAGCTTTGTGACTGGACAATTCATTTTTACCTTCTGAGTGCCTCACTTTACTCATCAAATGAGGAAAACAATGTGTTGTTCAATTTTTCCATTCAGCAAATATTTATTGAGTACTTACATAAGTTTCACACTGTTCCAGATATAGGAAATAGTGGTAAACAAGCCAAAAAAATAAAAATTCCTCCAGATGGGCATACATTTAGGTGAGGGAGACAGACAAGCAAAAAGATAAAATTAGTCCAAAAATAGTATGCTGGTGATTGATAGATGTGAGACTTACAATAAATAATGTATATGAATTACATAGTGTAAGACCTGGCATGTAGCAAATTCTTCACAGATAATAATTTCCTTTGCTTCTTTTGTCTTCCTGACAGTTGCTGAATTCCTCTACAAAATGATAGTAATCATAAAAAGACATGACTGGTTATTACCTGTTATCTATTGCTAGTAAATAAGGCCTAATCTTGTTTTTGCTTAAGAATTCTTACACTTGGATTTTGTACTTCCTGTATGGAAGATTAATCAAGGTAGTGCCTAAATAGTGTTATAAAATGGAACTTTCTGGAGCCAGTTGGCAGGCATCCTTGTATGGGACTGGATGGCAGGCGTTAGGTCCAAAGACAAATGCATAGTGTCCTTGCTGTTTTAAGCAAAATAAACTAGAAGACTTTAATGACTGTTTCTTAATGAAAAGCCGTATTCCCTCTTTCCTGTGCCAGACTTTGGAGAACTGAGCAAAGTTTGCAGCGTTAGGAGTTTGGCTGTGTTATTTATGGGTGACTGGTAACTGGTCTATTATGTACTATGGGTGACTAATGGTAACTGGTCTATGATCCTTAGTGCTGTTATGTGAAAGAACCTGGAGCTCAGTCCACAGGTATTTGGTTTAGGCTGTTACCCCTTGAAAGAAACTGAGCATTAGGTTGTACCTGGCTTCAAGAACTAGTAAATGAAAATTCAGAATTGCAATCCAGATTAGATAAAGAAATTAGCCCAAGGAGGTTGAAGAATGTTTTTTTTGAATCACACATCTAGTTGGTAGGAGAGCCAGGATAATAATGAAGGACCTTGAACCTTATTCAATCCATTTCTATTATGCCATTGGTAATAAGTACTTTTACTAAAATGCTCATTCTTAAGACATCTTTTTATTTAAAGACATCTTTTAAATAGTGCTCACCATTGCATTTAACAAATGATTTACCAATAATTGATTTACATACAATTTTAAAGAAACATTTATAGCACAGAACGTTGTACAGAGTGTTTTTCTAAATTTCCCTGGGGTGTCTACATCCTCTGCTCCTTCCAGGGCGTGTATTCATAAGTAAATGTTGGCATTCTGATACTCATTTTTTCCAGATGTTCCTCCCAAGTGGTGTGCTATGTTTTGTGTTTTTAATATTTTTCATATGCATTTTAAAAATCTGGGCACATAAATCTTAATAAAAGTCTTAACTATCTCCTCTGTTCTGTCTCAGATTTCTGAGTATTTGTATTTATGACATGGTGTCCCAAGTTATGAATGCTATCACATAATTAGGACTTATATCCCTAAACCCTGGCGTTGTATTTCTACATGTTTTGAAAATTCTTTACACTTCACTTGTAAATGCCACTATATTGTGCCATGACATTTCCATAGTAACATATATTTCAAACAGGAAAACAGAGAAAGCCCAGGGAAATGAGACTGTCTCAAGAAGAAAGAAAGAAAACATGAAAAATAATAGAATGCATGAGATAGGGCTGAGGGGGTTAGAGTGACAAGGGTATATTCTGCTTCTAGCTTGATGTCTCTGAGAGCGGAATGTCCTGTGTGCTTATCTTTGTTCTGTGAGCACCACCCACCAAGTAGTCCCTTTGGAATCCTTAGAGTCACACTTTTCTTGGACATCTTGTCATGTACACGTCATTCTATTTTTTTTAAGTTATTACCCACTGCAACTAGACAGGGGAAGTCACTCACCTCCACCCCACTGTCCTGAAATCCATTCTCTACATGGCACATGTGATACTTGGCTTGGCGTCTACTGAAAACCAGAGACTTGGACACCAGTTGTTAGAGCTTGCTCAGCCAAATCCTGTCCCTGGAATGTTTCCCTGCTACCATCCACCTGGCAAACTCCTATTGGGCATTCAAGCCTCAGCCTTAACATTGGGTTTCTTTCATGTCACCCCCATTGGTAAACAAGCCACCCCTCATGTACAGTGTGTATTATCATGTCAAAGAAACTGTAACACTTACCTGTCTCTGTAAGATGTTTTTCTTTATTCCCTACCTGCCAATCAACTCAAAAACCAACCATATCTGAGTCTTCTCTGTATTCTCAGTATCAAGGATTAATCTTGCCTGGAATTGCTCAATAAATGTTTGATTGATGAGTAAAAGAAGGTACTTTTATGGTAACTGCTTTTTTTTGTTGTGAAATTATCATTACAAAACGTTCCATTCTAAAGGTTCATTTAAATGGTATTTAGTATATTCACAATGTAATATAACCATTAACTATTAATTCTGGAATATTTTCATCAGTAAACCTGTGCCCATTCCCTCTTAGCCCAGCCCCTGGCAACCACTAATCAATTTTTTTTCTTGTGGCTTTGCCTATTCTGGAAATTTTGCATAAATGGAACTGTTATGGTTTGTATCTAAGGGCTTTTCAGAGGTGGATGGATTTAGGATGTGTGAATGTGGATTAAGGATATGATACCGGGATGAAGGGTGTGTGGCACTGGATTAGTTCACTGATTGGTTAGCTAGAGCTCTGGGTGTGGGACATAGTAAGCCCCACCCTGTGTGTGGGTGGCAACACCTTGAAGGCTGTATGGCATAAAAGGGAAAGACTTGCTTGCCTTTTGCTTGCTGCCTACCTGCTCTGCCATCAATTCTTTGTTCTCTATGATGCTCCTTGGCCATGCCTTGGAGCCTTGGACACAGCTGATGATAGACTGAAACCGTTACAAGCTGTGAGCCAAAATAAATCTTTCCTTCTTTAAATTTTTTTTTGGTACTAAGGATCAAACTCACAACATAGTGCTTGCCAGGCAAGCACTGTGCCACTGAGCTATATCCCCGGCCCCCTCCTTTAATTTTGTATGTTGGGTATTTTGTCTCAGCAGTGAGAAAAATTACTGAGACAGGAACCATACAATATGTGAACTTTTTATGTTTGGCTTCTTTCACTCGTTGTTTTCAAAATACATCCATACTGCAGTATGTATCAATGCTTCATTCCTTTTTAGGGGCAAATAATATTCCATTAAATGGATATACCATATTTTGTTCATTCATCCATTGAAGGATATTTGAATTGTTTCCACCTTGTAATCATTGAGAATAATGCTTCTATGAACATCTATGTACAAACTACTTTTTAAAAAAATTTTAAACAGTCTTGCTAAGTATGTACAAGTGTTTTTTTGTTTTGTTTTGTTTTGTTTGTTTGTTTTTTTGCACAATTGTTTTCAGTTCTCTTTGTTACATACCTGGAAATGAAATTACTGGATCATATGGCAATTCTATATTTAACTTATCAAGAAACTGCTTTTTTGTAATTGCGCCATCATACATCCCCACCAGCAATATATGAAGTAAACATTCCAATTTCTCCATATTCTTCTAACATTTGTTATTTTCCATTTTAAAAAAATTATGCCCATTTTAATGAGCATAAAATTATATCTCATTGTGGTTTTGATATGCATTTTTCTAATGACTAATAGTGTTAAGTATCTTTTCATTGCTTGTTGGCCATGTGTAAATCTTCGCTGGAGAAATATCTACTCAAGTTATTTGTCCATTTAAACATTTTTTGGGCTACTCAACTGTTCTTGTAGGAAAAAATTAAAAAAAATTTTTTGGGGGCGGCCAGGGGTTTAGCTTAGTGGCGTATGTGCCTACTTAGCAAATGCAAGGTCATGAGTTTGATCCCCCACACCAAAATAAATAAATTAAAACAAAATAAAAAATAAAATTTGGGGGAGGCAGGGATTTAGCTCAGCAGTGTAAGTGCTTCTCTGGCAAGTGCAAGGCATGAGTTTGAGCCCCACTACAAAAAAATGTTTTTTGGTTGCTTCTATTTTGCTATTGAGTTTTATGAGTTATTTTTATATATTCTGGATATGATACCCTATCAAATATATTATTTGCAAATATTTTCTCATTCTATGGATTTTCATTTTATTTTTTTTTTATTAATACATGTTAATTATACAGAATAATGGACTTCATTGTGACATTTTCATACATGCATGTAACATACTTTAATGATATCCCTACCGCCACCCTTTTTACTTTCTTAATGGTGTCCTGTAAAGTACAAAAAAGTTTTTAATACTGATGAGGTTTAAGAGTTATATAGTTTTAATTCTTGTATTTAGGCCTTTGATTTTGTATATGATGTGTCTAACTTCATTCTTTTCACACATAGAAATTCAGCTTTCCAAGCACTACTCGAAAAAAGAGTTTTCTCCTTTTTTGACAAATATTTTCAAATTACAGGCAGAGGTTTTTTTTTAGTACTTTAAAGACATTGTACTATTATTTGCTGACTTGCATTGCTTCTTATGAAGTTAACATAATATTGATCTTTGTTCTATATATTCTGTACTCTCTTAACCCTTTTTCGATCTTTGATTTTAAGCAGTTTGATTATGTGTCCGGATACAGTCTTTTCCATGTTTGTTGCACTCGGGGTTCACCAAACTTCTTGGTTTTGTGAACTTAAAATTTTTATCCAACTGAGAAAATTTGTAGCCATTATTTCTTCAAATTTTTTTCCTCCACCCCTACCCAATGTATATTTGGTCATTTGAAATTGTCCCATGTTTTTCTTTTTTTTTTTTGGTGGGGGGACAATTTCTATTGGTTCATTTTCAAGTTCACAAAGTTTTTATTTTGAAATAAATAATCTGTTTTAATTTCATTTTGTATATTTTTCACCTCAGATATGTTGGTTTTCATCTCTAGACATTTGATTTGCATTTTTTGTAATAATATACAGAAAATTTGTAAAGATAGTATAGTTGGTTATATAACTCAGTGGTAGTGCATATGGAGGTCCTCTTGGATCTAACTTCCAGCACCAAAAAAAAAAAAGAAAAAAAAATATATACTGCCTGCTCATATATCCCTGACCCAGTTTCAGTTTTCACTAATGTTATTGTTTATTATGGTACACTTATCAAAAGTAAGATATTGTCTTAGTTAGTTTTTCATTGCTGGGACACAATACCTAATGTCCACAATTTAAAGATGGAAAGGTAAATTTTGGGTCAACGTTTTTAGAGGTTTCAGTCCAAGGCAAAGGCAGCACAACAGAGGAAAATCAGCTCATGGCATGCAGACAGGAAGCAAAGAGAAGGATCAAGGGAGAAGGAAAGGAGCCTTTCCAAACCATGCCCTCAGTGATCCGCCTCCTTCAACCAGGCTTCGCTCCCCAAGTTACATTTAGCTATAAACTCATCAGAGAACTACTTCATCAATAATACCACACTCCTATGGTCCAATCACCTCCTAAAAGCCCCACTCATCACCTATGAGTACATGAGGCTTTGGGGGGATGTCTGGATGTGAACTGTAATAGATACCAACATGGGCACATTACTGTAAAGTCATACACTATTCACATTTCAACAGCTTTTCCTCTAGTGGCCTTTTTTCTATTCCAAGAACCAACTGAAGATACCATATCACATTTAGTGGTCATGGCTTCTTTCTCTCTTCTGATCTATGACAGTTTTGCTGTCTTTTAAAAATTTTTTACAGGCTTGAAAATTTTGAGGCATACCTGTCATGTATTTTGTGGAATGTTCTTTAATTTGGGTTTGTCTGGTGATTTATCATGATTATTCTAAAATTATGGGCTTGGGGAAAGAAGAACAAAGAGGTTCCTCTTATATTATAATAAAAGGTATATAATAGCTATGTGGCATAATCGGTGATATTAATCACTAAGTTATGGTGGTCTTTTCTAGATTATTCTGTGACTATTCTTTTCCCCTTTCAATACTCTGAAAGCAAATGGCTGTATTCAGCCCATTCTCATGGGAAGTGGGAGTGATGAAGTTCCATGTTCTAGAGGAGAGAGTATTTAAATATATTAATTGGAATCCTCTGTAATGAAGAGTTGTCTTTTCTTCCCAATTTATATAATAACCCAAAATTATGTTATTTATTTTGTTGCTCAAATTGCTTTACCTCGGCCCCTGAGCGCTCTTTCAGGCTGGCTCTTCTGTCTCTGACTTCTCCCACTCACTCCCATCCCCACCCTCACCCAGGCTTTTTAAAGCACTTTCTTACATTTTGGTACTATAACTTGCTCCAAAAGTACCTTGTATTTTCCCGCCCCCAGCTTGTGGTCATCTCTCCAGAGAGCCCTGGTTCATTTTATTGGAGAAGGTTGTTTAGAAACCAAGACATAGGCATTGAGTTTATTTGTTGCTACTGCAATTGGGTGTT